TTTCTGATCTACTTGTGAGATCAACTGTGGGACTGGCAAGTAGGATGCTTTGGGGCTGCTGGGGTCCAACCCATCACCTCCTTGCTTGCCCTTTATACATTGAATTTACCTGAGCTTTTCAGTGTACTATCTGCTGCAAAACTCTCTGCTCCCTTTTTTCTGATATCTTAGTTTTTACAGCACCTCTCCTATGAAGACAGACTTAGTGATTTGGCGGTTTTCGGCCTGGAGAAAAGAAGGCTCCAAGGAAACCTTTAGCAACCTTCCGGAACTTAATGGGATCTTAAAAAAAAAAAAAAAAAAGAGGAAGGGTGACTTTTTACTTGAGCAGATAGTGATAGGATAAGGGAAAATGGTTTTAAACTAAAAGAGGGGAGATTTAGATTAGATGTTAGGAGGAAATTCTTTACTCAGAGGGTGGTGAGGCACTGGAAACAGTTCCCCAGAGAACTGGTGGATGGAGTGTGGAAGTGTTCAAGGTCAGACTGGATAGGGCCCTGGGCAACCTGATCTGCTGGGTGGCATCCCTGCCCACTGTGTGTGGGAGGGAGAACTAGATGATCTTTAAGGTTCCTTCCAACCTGAACCATTCTTTGATTCTATGATTTTATAGTTGTCACATCAGGTGTGCTGCTACAAGAAGTCTGTGCAGCTTTGCACATACCTGACCATGGTTAAAAATAGCCCCTAAAGCCCTGAATTTTTCAGTCTGGTGTCATAGGATAAAGTTATATGAGTGTCAGATTTTGTTAGCCCTCCCACTATCCCAGCCTACTACTCTTAATTTCCAAGAGATAGTTTAGGTCATGTATTTTACCATCCAGTTCAATCAGCTACTGCTCTGCATAGCTCAGGGCAAGCTGTGAGCTTCAGCCATAAGGCAAGACCCTGTGGAAAGGAGCAAGGGACACTGGAGTGGCCCACACCAGCCCTGTATTAGAGGCAACGTAACATTGAATACTGCTACTCGTTCAGGCTCATTTCCTGCATCAGTTCAAGCTAATATAAATTATATAGAATTTAAGTAGTTGAGTTAAGGATCTGCCTTCCCTTCTACCAGTTTCATTGTCCAGTAGTCACCTCTGGCTAGGGGTGAAATTAAATACTAATACTATAGTATGTAAAACCTGTAAACAAAGTTTTCCTATCCTTTCCTCTTGGCGTTTTCAGGCACTTTAATCTTTAGACAGAAAGGTTTCAGCATCTAAATTTTGAGCATAAGGTCCTTGAGGGTTCCTTAAGTGCTTTAGTCTCTCTGCATCTCATTTAATAGGAAATATGCTTTTCTTGACAACACCTATATGTAGGAAAGAGAGAATAATGATTAGTAATTGTCAAATATTTGATCTGTGAACAGCATTCTTCAAAAGTACATTGATTCATGGAAGTCCAAGGGTTTTGTGCAAATTAATTTTAATGAAAAATTTAGCAAACTATTAAAAATGTTAACTTTTTTTTATACAGCATTGAAAAATTTCATTCTGACAAGGTCAAAGTACTTTTCTCTTTTGTGTTTTGATCTTAACATTGTTATGTATAATTAGCATGAAGATAAATAAAAGCTGAAGTGTTACAGTCAAGAGGAAATGCTACCTTGCATCAAAGAAGTGCTTTAATCTCATCAAAGTGAAGCAAGACCATGAAACTTTTTGAGAATTCTGAAATAATGTAAAAGGAAATGTCTTCATCAGAACATATTTATTTCAATTCCTACTTTTCTTTTCATTCAGTTGAAACAAATGTCAGAATGCTGTAGTTTCTCCCTGACCACAAATTCTGCTATTATTTTGATATGGCTAGATAAGATGCAGACAGTGCATACTCCACAGGCAAATAATGCAGTGATATTGTAAGTATGGTTTCTGTTGATATATTATGGACGTGTAGACAAGTTGCTTCTTCAAAACTGGTGGCAAAGCAGTTTTCCTTCTAGGTGTATAATGAAGATTGCTCTTCTGCCTCTTTCTTTACATGGTTCCATGATTTGAGTTATCCTCCATTACAACCTGTTGCAACCACTTACAGAAAGGTGTAAAATAAGGAAAAAAGGAGCATCTGATGAAGACATTACTGCAGGAGAAGAGGTCAGTTGGGTTATGACTCACTAGCTGAAGACATGCCAGCTGATGAGAGGGATACTGCAGAAGGTTATAAAATCATGGATGACACAGAGAAGTGTGTAGTGGTAGCTTTTCCTCACTGTACAAAACCCAGACAATTGATGCAGTATATTTTTTCACACACAGCAAATTTAATTTGGGAGTTCATTGCCATTCAATGCTTTTTATAACACAAGTACAAATGGCTTCATAAACTATTAAAAAATGTCTCTCATGGAGGAAATTCTGTCAAGAGCTATTAAACACACCCCAGAAAATGCAACCTCTGTTTCATATAGGCAAGCTGATAGCTAGAAGCTGATAGCAAATATTTTGTGAAATGTTGTTCTCACTTAGCTTAGTTTTACTCTCTTTTCATAAGTACCTGTCTGAAAATTATGTGGGCTTTTGGTTTCTCTCTGTAGGGTTCTTCAAATATTTGGTAGGAATAAAGCCCTTAAATACAGAAAATAAATTTTCAGTGTATCTATAGTCACTGGATAGCCTGCATGTATTTCAGAACCTTTCTGGCAAATGTGAATGGTTAATGATACTTTGGAAAACAAAACGCTATCAAATTATTTCTCTCTCTCTCTATATATATATATATACACACCAATGATGAAACAGGGATGTCAACCTTCTAAGTGAAGATAAGGTTCCCTTCTTTTTGCTTGCTTGTTCCTATCTAAATGACTATTTTCCTTTATGCATCAAAGCAATCACAAATATCTGTTGTGAAAGTATACTATTAAATGCCTGAAATTACTGGATACTGAGATGGAAAACTCTCTTTTAGAAGCCACATGTACCTACGTCTACCAAAGTTAAAAGAACACAATCTTTCAGGAGAAACTTTTCTTGATAATTATAGAGAAATTAGACATTCCAGTTTCACTCGGCAGTTCACTGAAACTGCAAAAATGTCCCTTTTCCTCAGGTTACAGCTAGTACAGTGTGAAGTTAGGAAAAAACCCTTTTGAATGCATCATGCAGTTCCAATTATCATCATTCTTGTAACACTGTCGCAAGTGTTATAATTAGTGATGCTAGCAAGGGCATCATCTATGAGGTCAGCTTCACCATGTTCTGGCTGTTATAACTACCACCATACTCTGAAAATTAAGCTCCTTGCACTGTCTTCTGCCCCCCTATTCATGATGTTTTCCTTCTTCTTTTCAAATCTGAAAATGTGAGTTCTCTAGTGAATATGTGTACCATTTGCATTTCTGTAAAGCTAAAATCAAAAGATCTGCCTTCTCTATTTTCGCTCTTTGTACAGAGTACTGACTTTTAAAGCTACTAACAAGGTGTTTTAGTTAATAGGAAAAATGGCTACAGAGAATGAGACAGATGACCCCACAACTGGTGCTAAAGTTCTTAAAAAGATGGAAAGTATCCTCTGGGTTGAGGAACCCTGTAATTAATCCTGTTCAGAAATGTGATTGTATACCTCTGAAAACCAATGAAGTTGGCTGTTCTCATTACTTTATTGGAAAGCCTGCTCTCTAATCACACAAGTTTTAAGGTGCAGGAAAGACTTCTAATTTTCAGCCTAGTTTTATTGAAGTAATAACAATTTCTTTTTAGAAATAAGAAGCAATTGCACTTCCACAAAGGGCAGAATGGCAGTGCCAACAATTTCACTGAAGTGTTATACTTTTATGGCACAGGATTATTATAATATCTTGTATACATAGCTTTTCTGTTTCCTTTCCAGTTTTTCTATTTTTTTCCTTGTTGTTGGTCAAAGTTCTTTATATGTGTATATATTATTTTTCTTTTGCCATTTATTGGAAAGCCAGCAATGAGCTATTACGTTATGACCTTTCTGTAGCATTTTCCATTGGGACATTAATGGTAGGTTATTTATCATTTTGCTGGGAAGGAATAGATTTCCTGTCTCCTCTCTTGGGGAAACCTTATTTTCACTTGTTTCATTGACTAAATGTACTCATTATTTAGTCTCAAGTGTATGCCTGGGGTCTAGCCCCTGCAATGATTAAGTTTTCCTAGCAAATCAACACTATGGAAAATGTTTATGATACTTAAATATGTCTCACAGTTCATTTATTTTTCTGTCCTCTCTTGATTAACTTTGAGCTTGCTTTTTCTTTTCTTTGTTTGTTTCTATATCCAGTGATGACATCTCAGTTTTAGCTTTCACAATTAATTGTCACTGTCGTGTTTTTATTATCATAAACACCCAGGACAGAGAAGCCCTTTAATGAATAATTTCCTAAGGATAACTTTTACATGTTACTTGTCTTTCTTTCTTGAGCTTTGCGGGTTTTACAAAGAAGCTTGTTATTTAAAATCTTGCACGGTGCAAAAAAAAATCCTTCACACCCTTCCCATATTCCTATCACATACACATTCACAAACAATATGCATTGGGTATTATTCTGTCATTCAGATCCACAGTTCCCAAGTACATAATGATTTAACTAGTGTGCAAAACTCCTTAAAAAGCTTGATTTCACCATTCCCTTGAGCTAAATTACATTTTCAATCATAAACTCTTGGTTTGATTAAATGATGTAATTGTTATTAATAATTTAATGAATATTAAAATTATTATCCATCTTGTGGTATAGTAGTATGCCTTCTAAGTTCTCAGTTATCCTCTTGGTTAGGTATTTATTGTGGGCAGTAGCATATTAGCTATAAAGATCTTCATTTACTTCCTGGCTCTTTTTCGAATGCTTTCCACCTCAAATTGACGTTAAGAATTCATCTTTCAGCATGGAGGATCACAGATTACATAAGTATATGGCAATGACTGTAATGATAAATAACAGGTCCTGAAACTGAACTTGCATATGCAACCCCTAAAAATCTGCCCAATTTAATTTTTAGCTCCCTCTCTCACATTGGACCACTCTACCTATTTCACTACAGGATCAATCTACTACAGATGGGACAAGTCTCAAGACTCTTGGATATCAGCTTATACATTCCACTTGGTGTTGAGGACAGAAATCATCCCCTGGACCTCTTCTGTTCAGCATTATAGATAAAGTACAGGTGACTGTAGGTGAACACAATAGCATTTTTAAGGATTCTAAAAGAGTAACAAACAAAGAAACAGTGTTAGAAGGAAACAAAGCAAAACAATGGCAGAGAAAATGTTTTTTTCTTTGCATTTTACAGTTGAAACTGAAGCTACCCATTCTTTATTTTTGCATAAAATATTAAGAGGTTTTGACTGAGACCGTAAGAACTGTAATAAACTAGTAAATATTATTCCAGGAAAACAAAAGAAGAATATTCCATTCTCTCTTTCCCACATGAAAAGAATAAAGAGAAACTAATTTGAAAGGGAAAATTTAAAAATATTAAATATACAGCTAAACAATGGAATTGATTGTTGCAGCATGGCACTCTGACCAGTAATTATTTTGATTTGTGATAGAAAAATGGGTAATGATGTGTAGGAAAAAAATTTCCTTGCAAAAATTAATTTTTAATTGTTCACTGGTTAATTCATGAAAATTTTGGATTTGGGCCAACATATTTTTGAGTTTTTATGTTTTCAAAACACCAAGACATTTTAGGAAAGGAGACATAGGGCAAGATCAAATCTGAGATTTAAATGTTTATTTCTAAACCTAAATCCTTCCCTAAGAATATAGAAAGTCACAGAATCAAGTGCTTTCAAGCATAACCTGCCTTTTTCCTTTGTTTTCTTATAACAATTGCAACCTTCTTTAAAAAAAAAAAAGTAGTAGACTGTGACTAGCAATAGATTCAGATACAGTGATAAATTCTGTCACAGTCTGAAGGTAGAAGGCAGGAAATGAAGTTGTTTAACCATGATGGGACAGCTGTGTTGGAGAGCCAAAGTATGTCCCTATCAAGCCTTATCAATTTAAACTGACACATCAGAACTACAGAATCACAGAATCAATCACTGAATGAGTAAGGTTGGAAGGGACCGCAGTGGGTCATCTGGCCCAGCCCATCTGCTCAAGTAGGGTCATCCTAGAGTACATTAAACAGGATTGCATCCAGACAGTTCTTGAATGTGAGGGAGACTCCACATCATCTCTGGCCACTCAGTTGAAGTGCACAGTCACCTGCACCGTAAAGTTCTTCCTCATATTCAGGTGGAACTTCCTATACATAGCTTTCTGACCATTGCCTCTTGTCCTATTGCTTGGCACCACCTGTCTGGCTCCATCCACTTGACACCCTTCCTTCAGATATTACAGACCACTGTCAGTCATCTCTCCTCAAGGCTGAACAGGCCCAGCTCCCTCAGTCTCTCTTCTTAAGAGATATGCTTGTCCCCTAATCATCTTTGCAGCCCTCTGTTGGACACACTCCAGGAACTCCATGTCTCTCTTGTTCTGAGGAGCCCAGGACTAGACACAGCACTCCAGATGTGGCCTCATTAGGGCTGAGTAGAGGGGCAGGATCACCTCCCTAGACTTGCTGGCAATGGTCTTCCTAATGCATCCCAGGACACCATTGGCCTTCTTGGCCACAAGGACACACTGCTGGCTCATGGACAGCTTGTTGTCCACCAGGACCCTGAGGTCCTTCCCCACAGAGCTCCTTTCCAGCAGGTCAGGCCCCAGCTTGTACTGGTGCTTGGGGTTATTCTTCCCCAAGGGCAGGACCCTGCATTTGCCTTTGTGGATTTTCAGAAGGTTCTTCTCTGCCCATCCTTCCAACCTGTTGAGGTCCTTCTGAAGGGCTACAAAACCCTCTGGGGTATCAGCCACTCCTACCAGCATTGTGTCACCAGCAAACTTGCTGAGGAGGCTTCTACCCCTTCATCCAAGTCATTGATGGATAAGTTAAACAATACTGAGCCCACTCTTGAATCTTAAGGGACACTACCAGTGACAAACCTCCAATTAGACCCTGTGCCACTGATTACAACCCTCTGGGATCTGCCATTCAGCCGGTTCTCAATCCACCTCACTGTCCACTCATCCAGTCCCCACTTGCTGAGTTTGACTATGAGGATGTTGTGAGAGAGAGTGTTGAAGGCTTTGCTGAAGTCAAAGTATCCACTGCTGACCTGTCATCTATCCATGTAGTTGTTTCATCACAGAAGGCAATCAGGCTAGTCAAGCATGACTTTCATTTAGTGAATCCATGTTGACCACTCCTGATCACCCTCTTGTCCTCCATGTGGATAGAGATGGCCTTCGGAATGAGGCACTCCATCACCTTTCTAAGGACTGAGGTGAGACTGACTGGCTGGTTGTTCCCTGGGTTCTCCTTCTTGCCCTTTTTGAAGGCTGGGGTGACATTTGCTTTCTTCCAGTGCTCAATCATCTCTCCTGATAGCCACAACCTTACAAAGATGATCATAAGTGACCTTGCTATGGTGTCCACCAGCTCTCTCGGCACTTTTGGATGCATGTTGTCAGGGCTCATGGACTCCTGGATGTCAAGTTTGACTAGGTGTTCTCTAACCCAACCCTCCTTGAGCAAGTGAAAGTCTTCCTTCCAACATTCCTTTACCTTGGTCTCCTGAGTCAGAGATTCCTGAAGGCTGGTCTTGTCAGTGAAGATGGATGCAAAGAAGGCATTCAGTAACTCTGACTTCTCTGCATCCTCTGTTCCTAGCCAGAAGCCCCCGCCCTCCCACCTCTATTTACTAATGGGCCCGTATTATCTATAGCTTCCTTTTGTTAATGATATATTTGAAAAAGACCTTCTTGTTGTCCTTGACATCCTTGGCCAGATTTTACTCCAGATGGGCCTTGGCCTCCTTTATCTCATTTCTACATACTCTGTTCATTCCAAGTGGCCTGATCCTGCTTCCGTCTCCTGTGTATTTTCTGCTTATGCTTGAGTAATGACAGGAGGTCTTTATTCATCCATGTAGGTCTCTTGACCCCTTTGCTTGATTTCTTGCTCATCGGGATGCAAGGAAGGAATAATGTTCAGTGTCATGCTAGATGGCAATTTCTATATTTTCAAGGATTATATATAAGCGTGGATACCATCTGGATCTCCATCAGTTGTGGCTGACCTGAGCTGACATAACCATTATATGAAGACATATCACCTCTGTCCTGGCCCCTTCTATGTATTGGTGCCAAGAGTTACAGCCTCATGGCAAAGTGAATGGGGGCTTGATCCTGGCAAAATTAATCCAGAGTGGAAGAATGTTTACTTTTTAGCTTAGGTCAAATCCACGATCATTTTGCATCCCACAAGAGTCAAGGCAGAATTACCATTTTCGTTGGGAGAGATACGAAGTTAACCTGGAACTACAGCTTAAGTAGCATAAGGTTTTATCGGTTATCAAAGCCTTGAATTGAAATATGAAGTGAAAGTATCTGTACATAGTCACTGTACAGTGTCTTAATATTACAATCTTATGAGGGATCTCATGCTTTCCTCTGGGCAAAAAATAACAGATTGATGTCCATTTTAAAGAGTATAAATTGTTTGTCATTTCTCAAACAGTTTTTAACTGGGGTATGAGACACTCAAATCCTATTACACAGCTAATTCCCCAGACTTCTGTGGTTTTGGGGTACAGTGAGACAGTGTGACTAGCATGAAAAGTAATCTTTGTAGAAGCTTCTGAGCACTGAACGTGCTCTGGTCAGGTAAAATTAGATGAACTGTTGCAAAACCACAGCCAAGAAACCTAATTGATCTATTCACAGTTGCACAGCATAGATAACTTGATTAATCCAGAGCCACATTTAAATTATTCTAGGATATAAAATTTTTCCAAATATATTAGTAACATTTCAGTGACAATTTCTTACCACTAGCACCAGCTTTTCTTTCCTGTAGAACTCAACATTTGATTCAGTATAAATCCAATTATTCACCAAAGAGCTAAATATACTATAGTAATTAATTAGAGAAAAATTCAGCTTCTAATGAATAAAACAACTTCATAACTTACAGGTAGAATATGCTAATCCATCCTCATCAGTGGATGAAATGTAATACAGGTTTTATCCAGCATTTCTTAATAATTATGTGCCATTCTAAAACAAGAAAGGTATTTAAAAAGAAGTAAGAGTTTTTTAGCGTGCTGCCAGTATCTACAATAAAAAATCTCCTTAGTGATTTATGAAACACAGCATGAAATGGGAAAGAAAGGTTGTTTAAGCAATCACATAATTTGAACAAAGTTTAACAAGGTTTACAGTATAAAGCAGGTTTAGTAGAAAAGACCTTTTCCCAAAATTGTTCTGTCTACTTTATAAATTTGTATTGCATTAATTTGAAGGTGGTGAAAATATTTGATATCTCTTTTGCCCATAGAAGGCACTTCTTTCTGAGTTGTCTTCATTTTGAAAGTTTTTACAATACTATATAATCTCTATATATTATTCTCTCCACCAGCCTTGTTACTTAGCAGTATTCCAGAAGAGAATTTGCCACCTTCTACATAAAACACCATGGGAATTGACAAACTAATGAAAAGGACCTATTGACTAAAGCATACACTGTTGCTTTTTCCTTTCAAGTTATGAACAGAGTACTTAGAAAAGGGTGAAGGCATATAATTGATTTAGAAGCCTACACAGCAGCATTTGACTCTTCTTGGAGGTAGAATGTAATCTAAAACTCAATTAGGCTTCCCCTACAAGATATTTTACTTTAAACAGTCACTTCACAAAAACTCAAACCTGAAACAAGAATCTTGAATCCAGGATTTATTCTTTCAAGGCACTAAGCTAAGCAACAAACTACAGAGTATGTCTTTCTTTCAGCTTCGTTTTTCTAGCTCCACAAGTCTTGGATTAACTACTAAGGGTGAAAGACAAGGAAATGAAGACTATGATCTAATCTATCCTTCGGTCATTATTACCTACTCTTTAATTTGGTAATCAATATGCTTCAGGGAGATGTGAGACTTAGGCCTTTAACTCAAGGAAAGGCACACATCCCTGGTCTCCAAGCTACTAAACAAATGCTCATTCTCTTATAAAACTAGGTAAAGGTGGCTAGTATTTAACTACTAGCATATTAAAAATAATCTACCTATACAACATCCCCGAAAAAAAAATCAGCCACTGATGCATATA